AGCCTGGGTTTTATGTACCTTCCACCAAGCCTGCCAACTGCTAGATGGGGTTTCTCTGCCCTCTGAGGCCCCGTTGGGTCATCCCAGGGCACAGAGCACCGGGAGCATGTCCAGCCCGGGTCCTGCGGCTCGGAGACCAAGCAGAGCTGGCCCGGCAGGCAGCCTGGTTTCTCCGACTTCTCCCATTTGTTCACAGGCGCTGGCTCCTGGCTCCTCACGGCCTGGGTATTTCTGCAGGGAAGCCCCTAAGTGTGTGCTCTGCTGCCCATGGTTCTTGTTCCCTCCATCCGCCTCCCCTCCCACAGTCCACTTCCCAGACTGTGTCAGCTCCTCTCTCTTTCTTAGCCATTTTCCTCCTTTCTTTCTTTATAAAACACACACGACATAAAATTCAGCATCTTAACCATTTCTGTGTGCACAGCTCAGCGGCATGATCACATATTCACATGTCGTACAATCGTCCCCACCCCCTACTCCAGAACTTTCCATCTTCCCAAACGGAAGCTGTGTCCCCATGAAGCACTCACTCCCACCTGCTCCCCCAGCCCCCAGCCCCCCACCCCATCCACTTTCTCTCTGGGGATGGGGCTCCTCCAGGGACCTCCTCGGACCTCAGACAGGATCTGTCCCTTCATGTCTGGCTTATGTCCCCGACACCACATCGTAGCAGGTGTCAGGTTGTCCTTCCTTGGGAAGGTGGAGTAGTGTCCCAGTTTGTGGACGGGCCATGCCATGTGTGTCCACCCGACAGTGGGCACTTGGGCCCCTTCCGCCTTCTGGTTAGGGTGAGTAATTCTGCTTGTGAACACTTGTGTGCAAATCTGAGACTTGCTTTCAATCCCCTTGAATATATACTTAAGGGTGGACTCGCTGGGTCGTGTGGTCCCCCATGTGCTGATCCTCCCATTGTCAGACTGCCTTCCACGGTGGCGGCACCATTTTCCATTCCCTCCGCCGGCGCATGAAGGTTCTGACTTCACATCCTACCAGCCCCTGTGTCTGTTGTTTGGTAATAGCCATGCTAATGGTCATGAAATCTCTCTTCTTAAGTCTTTCCCTTTCTAAGGGGTGTGGGGCCGACTACAGGGTCGGAGGTGATGTCCAGCCCCCCACGGCAGAGCACCGGAAACACGCTCGGTGCCTCTGGGCACTGTGATTTTATTTCACTTAATGCACCCGTGGGTGGGGCTCCTCTGGGGCAGCGCTGGTTCACCTGTGTCACAGGGACTCGCCAGCCCCCTGCTGGTACTTATTTAGGCTGCTGACGACATCCAGCCTTGTGAACATACATCTTTCTGCTCACTCTGGGGTTCCTCTATGGGGGACGAGACCCTGCATGGACAGGCCCATCATCCCCACATCCACCTCAGACCACCCGTACTTGTGATTTCCATGGCAGGGAAATTCTAACATGGTTCCAAAGATTTCTGCCCCCTGGCATACCTGCTGTGTGTAATCTCGTCCGTGTGGGTGTGAGAACTGCTGAATAGATACTGTGGTCCCCCCCTTGATTAGGTGGCTTTAGGTGACCAAGGGGACAGGACATCACCTCTACTGCATTACATTAAGACTCCATCTTGGCACATTGGGTGGCCTTGATGAAGGCACTGCCGTGTTGTCAGGGGGCCTGTTGAGCAGGAGACCCCTAGGAGCTGAGGGCCACCCCTGGCCTAGCCGGCAAGGAATGAGCAATTCACCCCTGCAACTGCAAGTAACACATTCTGCCAGCACCAGGGAGCTCGGAAGCGAATCCTTCCCTGTTTGCGTGTCTGGATGAGAAGGCAGCCCACCTTGATTGCAGCTCATGAGACCCTGAGCAGAGGACCAGTTAAAACATGCCAGAATCCTGACCCATGGGAGCCGCAAGATCGTAAATGTGCCTTGACTCAAGCTGCTGTTGTTTGTTACGCAGCAGTAGCAGACTGACGCACTTTCTCTACATTGGCCCTTACATTCTCCCTCCTGCCCCAGGGCTTTTATATATTTTGTTTTTACTTATGGGCATCTGTCCTCCCACCAGGCACTTACTGAATTCCTGTTTATCCTTCAGAACTCAGGTAACCCATCTGCCTCTCAAGAAGCCCTCCCTAACAATCTTGTCTACATCAGAGCTCTCTTTACACAGACTCAAAGCTCCCTGGACACATCTTTACTTTTGAGCCTTTACTATAGCCATAATTTTAATTTATTTGGGTCTCTGCCATGAATATTTAAGCCCTATGAGCTCAGAGAATCGCATCTGCCTCGTTCAGGGCCAGGTCTTCAGCAGCAAGCAGCCAGGCCTGGCCCGTCATAAATATCGGATGGGTGGAAAGCTGAATGAATGGCGCTTCTATGTTCGATGCTGAATAGCAGTGGGCCTCTTCTATGCCTTAGTGATGGTGATGACAAGACAATTCAGAGAACACAGGAGCCCTCAGAAAGCCCGCAGGGTCGGGGGAGCAGCAGGGACGGCACAGCTGAATGAACAGGGGGTGCTGGGAGGGCCAGAGAGCTCATGCACGGAAGCTGGGTTCCCAGCCCTGATCACAGGGGGGTCTTGGTGTCTTTGTCCCTAAAACTTTCATCAAGTGATTCTTAGAGAGTCCCTGGCCCCTCAGACAGCAATTCAGCCCAAGTGTAAGAATAAAGGGGTAAGTATTGCTCAGGCTCACTCCCTGCCACCCTGGGCAGCTCCGCTTTCTCATCAGCTGCATAGGGTGGCAGTGAGGCGTGGGGCGGCTGTTCCCAGCAGGGACACGTCCCCTTGAGGACAAAACCTTCTGGCTGGGTCCCAGCACAGGGTTCCAGACTTTGTGCAACACATGGCTAAATCTGGGCTTCAGGTAAACAACGCTCCTTTTTTTCATATGAGTACATCCCAAACGTTGTGCAGGGCATATTAGGGACTATTAGCCAGGGCTCTCCAGAGAAATACAACCAACGGAATGGAGGGGTGGGAGCGAGGGGAAGAGAAGAGAGATTTTTGAGGAACTGGCTCACACGACTGTGGGGCTGGCAAGCTCGGGCCCCACAGGGCAGGCTGGAGGCCCTGGGAAGGCCTGAGGCTGTGTTCCTCCCTTCTTGGGGATCTTTAGTCTTTTCTCTGAAGGCCTTCAACCAATTAGATGTGGCCCACCGACATCGTGGAGGGTCATCCGCTCCACTCAATATCTACTAATTTAAATGTTAATCACAACTAAAATGACCTACACAGCAACATCCAGAATAATGTTTGACCAAAAAACCGGGCACCATCGCCGAGCCAAGTGGACGCATAAAATTGCCCCAGGGACACACTTACACTACAAAAGCATATTCTTCAATTTGAAATTGAAGTTTAACTGGTGTCCTGTATGTTGTCTGACACCCAGGCTTGCACTTAGATCTCTGTAGGCCTCAGAAGCAGCCCCACAGCTTCCCAGGGGGGCATGGGGCCCTGGCTAGGGAAGAAGGGTGGGACTGCCCCCCCACCTTCCTACCGTCCTGGTCTAATGGGGGAAGGTGTGTGGGAGGCCAGGTGTGACTCACTCTCCGCGCACGCGGTGGAGGCTTCATGCAGGGGGAGCCTGGGTGGACAGGTAAGGAGACCTGCCTCTCCTTACTGTAAAGGCCACTCTTACCCTCCAGAGAAAAAGGCTTCTATCTGTAGGCAGGGAGCAAGTTGGGTTTGCGGAAAAGGCCTGCTCCAGTCTCAGGAGCATAAGAGAATTATCCGGCGGGAGCTGGGGTGGGTTAGCACACGTAAGCCTCTGCTCGGGGGCCTCTGGGTCACAAGCAGCAGAGGTCAAGTGCTATCAGTGAGAAACAGAATCCACGGGTGGTTGACAGTGAGAGGTTTCAGAGGGCCCAGCCCGGAACCACCTCCCAGCTCTGCCTTCTCGGAACTGAGGACCCTGCAGAGGGCAGCCGACCGGACGGCAGGTGTTGCATTCTGCCCAGTTGGTACAGGAGGAAGCTGGGGGCCGTAGCAGTTAGATCACACAGTCATGCTCCTTACCCCACAGCCTCCCTAGTGGGAGGGTTTTTTAAAATAGCATTAACTGTTACAATGGAAAAATGGCCTATGCCCACATTTTGTGGACTTACACAAATGAAGCCATTGACTTTTGCATAGCATCTAACAGCGAAAGTGCTGGTGTGCCCATTTTCTGGGCTCTGTGCCACCAACATTAGCACAAGCTTCGTGGCTAAGTCAACACCGCCTATGGGGTCAGCAGTCGGCACAGCTCAGCTGGGTCCACTGCTCAGGGTGTCCCACCAGGCGCCCTCAAGGTGTAGCTTACCTGGCAGAGGAGCCACTCCCAAGTTCCGGGGCTGTTGGCAGAGTTCAGCTCCCGCAGGTACAGGCCCAGGGGCTTCATCTCCTTTCCGGCTGTCGGCCGGAAGCCTCCTTAGCTCCAAAACCAAAATGCGATCCTGGGATCGTTCTACAGTCTCTTCTTTCAACAGATGTCTGAGCATCTCGTGGGTGTTCTGTGCTGAGCGTCCTGAGAGCCGGGGTGGCGCGGTGGCTGGAGGAGAATGTGGGATCCCAGGCAAAGACCAGGTTCAGAGGGAACGAGCCATCGATGCGATGCAGGGACCTTAGGGGGGCGTGCAAGGCTAGGCTTTCCAGAGGAGGGGACGTGCACCCAGGCCACGGGTGGAGGCAGCTGCAGGCGCCCCAGCGAGCGGACATGGAAGGATGGGTGGTGGGGCGCCGTGGGGAAGTTCCACCCAATGCCCCAAAGACCCATGACCCCAGCCTGAGCGTGGGACAAACCCCAGTGGCCGGGGCGTGGGACCGAGCAGGTGCGAGAAGCTGCGTCCGTCCAGCAGGGCCGGTGGATGGGTGAGGCCCGCCTGCCTGCTGGGGCCCCGGGTCGGAGGCGGCTGCAGGGGGTGTGCCACTAGAGTGTGTGCGGTGGTCGATCATGATGCACAGCATTGGCCCGGCAGTGTGACGGGAGCCGCGCCAGCATGAGGGGGAGCCGGGTGCCAGGTGCCCTGCAACCCTGCCCTTTGTTGCTGGCACCCAGGTCGCTGTCCTGAGATCCAGGAGCCATGGAGCCCAGCCTCGGTGACCCACAGCTCGTGCCCCGGGCAATGAAGGAAGCTGCGGCCCCGGACGCCTCCTGCGGCCGAGCGGCCCTCCCGGCCCTGGCGGCTGCCAGCTTCGCCGTGGTCACCGTGGGAGTCCTCGTGGGTGAGTGGCCGTGGGCGCCGCGTGGTGACCGTGGGGCCAGGGCGCGGCGGGGACGGTGGGCCCTCCAGGCCGCCCGGAGGCAGGCAGACAGGCAGGGGCCCGGGACTCAGGTGCTGCAGCCGTCGGGTCCTCTGGGGAATGGCCAGCGGGAAACGCAGGCTGACCGGGACGGGGAGCGTTTTTAAATCTTGAGGAACTTGAAAAGGCCCCAAAAGTTTAAGAAAAACAACCGTTTCTGTGCCCACGATCCACAAGGGCCCCGTTTCCTACTTGCTTCCAGTACAACGCAAGTTATTTAAGGGGAGCCTTCGGACAGCCAGGCCCCGCCGCACACAGTGGGGCTGCAGTTATAAGAGAAACGCAGGCGGCTCGTTTTGGTTCCTACAGATGCCCGGGGGCAGAGGAAGCGCCCTGCGCGCCCCGTCTGTCTTCCAGGCGGACTTGGCCCGGGCAGGGGCAGGACGGAGGTTCCTCCCCGGATGCCTTCGTTGGGTTTGACTTTGGGTCAGTCACCACCCCCCCTAGAATTCTGCCCTTTGTTCAAGTAGGAGACCGGCCCTCCCGTGCCCCCCGCGCGCAGCTCAGCGCGGAGCCACCCCAGGGCCGGGGGCTGCCTGCCATCCTTCGGGCTGGGCAGCTGCTCCGGGAGGCGGCCACCTACCCTCGCGCCCGGGGGTGGTTCACCTACGGGAGCGTCGGCGGCAGCTGGCAGCCGGGCCTGCGGGGCGGACGCCCCCTGGCGGCTGCGGGGGGCAAATGCGGGCGGGCGGGGGCGCGCTCGTGCGCTGGTCCCGCACCGCACCCGGGAGAGGCCGGGCGCAGGCTTCACACCTGCACGCATTCTAGAGCCACAGATACTTTTTGGGGGAGCAACAAGTCAGCGGACTCCTCAGCAGGACCCCTGAAACAAAATGAGGCTTTAGGAAGCTTAAAGATTGCTAAAGAAATTCCTTTAATTAAGGTGAAAATGTATCCCCTTCCCAGACAGCTGGGCGTGTTAGCCGAATGTGCGGGCCTTGGGGGAAGCTGGAGGGGGTGCCCGGGGCCGCCTGGCGCTGTTCCTCCAGTTTCGGGGTCTGTGACTGTTTCAGAGGGAGATGAAAGGGGCCGGCAGAGTCGGGAGCAGAGTATATAAGCAGTTTGGTCTACACAGCGGGGGCTGGCTTGTCTTTATTTCAGTTTCTTGGATGAGAAAACACCATTTGTAGAATTAGCTTAGAATAATTTATTCTCTCTACGGAATAAGCCAACACCTGGATATCTGTCCAGATGAACATTGCTTCCGAGGAAACAGCCCGGGGCCGAGGCCCGAGCGTCCGATGCCCCAGCTACGGTTGTGCCCGCAGGGTTTGGTGGGGGTTGCCAGAGATGGGAGGGAGGGTCTCTGGCGGCCGGTCCACCTATTCGGGCTTCAGGCCCTGGGCCCGCCAGGCTAGCAGACGGGTGAGCGGGAGCTGGCCTGCCCGCGAGGAAACCTGGGCGTGCGTGGGGCTTTGTGCTTCAGGGGGTGTCTGTAGGACCAGACCAGGACTCGTGTGAGAGGTGGAAGGAGGTGTCGTTCACAGTCATTCAGGGAATGCCAGGAAGTCCGTCACCCCGCTTGTCGGGGAGGCCTGGACCCTGGGCAGTTTAGGCTGGCTTAGCTGAGCCCCAACCCCAGGTGGGGTTCTCACGGGGCCCTGGTCTTGTCCGCAGCCTCCCTCTCTACACAGGGCGTCGACGTGGAGCACAAGGCCGAGCTTCAAGGCATCCGGTTTGCCCGTGGCCTGCAGCGGGAGACCTCGCATCTGTACCGCACCCTGACGCCCGCTCTGGAGACGCTGGTGAGGGCGGCCCGCGTTCAGGGCTGGAGGGGGCTCGGGCTCCTGGGAGCAAGAGGGCAAAGGAGACAGCCAGGGACTTTGGCCCAGGGAAGACCCCCACCTTGCCCAGGTGAGCAGACAGGAGCAGGGGCGCCCAGGCAGGCTCTGCCATTCACAATAATGGGCAACCATCACCTCTAATTCCCAAACATTCCATCAGCCCGGAAAAACCTCTCCCCATAAGCAGTCACCCCCGCCCCCTCCCCCGCCCCCGGCACCCCCCTGTAGACCTGCCTGTTGTGGACCTGTCATGGAAATGGGGTCACACCCCATGTGGCTGTAGGTCTGGAGTCTCACTGAGCACCGTGTGCTCAGGGCCCGTCCACGTGTGGCCCACGTCAGGGCTCCGCTCTGAGTCGTGTTCCACAGGTGGATGGTCCTCATTTATTTTATCCATCCATCTTCTGATGAAGCAGATCTTTACATGAGTGACTCCAAAGTGTCCTTACCATGTCACAAGCCTCCACAGGGACAGGTCCCCAGGCCATGGCCTCAACCTTTGCTCCTTGTGTCCCCCGCAGTTTGTGAGCAGCTTTCAGAAGACAGAGTTGGAGGCCAGCTGTGTGGGCTGCACGGTGCTGAGTTACAGGTGAGGCAGGGCCTCCTTGGGGGAGAAGGGACGGCTGTGGACACCCGGGCAGTTCCGGGAGCTCCCAGCAGAAAGGACCTCCCTTGCCAAGGACCTGTCTCCCACCTGCAGGGACAGGAACAGCAGCGTCCTGGTGCACTTCCGGCTGCACTTTCTGCTGCGGGGATTCCGGTCGCTGAGCCTGGGCCTAGAGCAGGAGCTGCTGCAGCGGGGCCTCCGAGCCAGGCTGCAGGGGCACGGCCTCCCCATGGCAGCCTACGGCACCATCGTGGCCGCCGAGCTCACAGGCAAGGAGGCACAGAAACTGAACGACGTCAGGAGGAGGCTGAGGGGTGGGGGCGGGGAGCCAGCTGCATCACACTTCAGGTTTTCCATAATCGCTCCTCCCGTGAAAAGAAAACTCACACATACCGCTTTACCCTCAGCAATGCAGACCAGCAGCCTCTAAATGGCCAGAGTGTAGATATTTCCAGCATTGCAGCCCACTGGGTCTCTGTTGACCTCTCAACTCCACTATTATAGCACAAAAGCAGCCAAAGATACTACATAAACGGATGGGCATTGCTGTGTTTCAATAAAACTTTATTTACAGAAACAAGTGGAGGGCCAGATTTGGCCTGCGGCTGTAGTTTGCTGATCCCTGGTGTAGAAATAAGAGTGAAAGCTGCTATACTCTAACAGCAGAGCCAGGCAGGAGCTCACACGGTCATCAGGTTTAAGACTGCTCACCTTGACCTTCCCTGGAGGACACCTGCGGTCCCCTCCCGGAGCCCTGACACACCACTTGAGCCTTACTGGGCCTCATCAGCACTAACAGAACTTGCCACGGTGGTGGAAACGTTTCATGCCTGCTCTGTGCACGGGGACAGCTGCCCGCCCCATGTGGCCACTGAGCGCTTGTCCTGGGGCCAGAGGCAGGGACAGGGTTTCATTTGATTTCATCTTAATTGACTTAAGTTAGAATTTGGCTCTTGTGGCCGCTCTGCTGTGCAGTATGATGTTTTCAGAAAACTTTGCCGCTCACCAGATGGGCTGATATGGCTTCTCCATTTCCCCGCAGGAAGCCAGAAAGGGCCGTTGGCAGAAAGAGGCTTAAAATCAGGTATGTTTTTCTCTCTGCGTGAGCGCCCTGTACTCTGCCAGGTTTTCTCTGATCTCAGTCACCTGGAGGGGTGGAGTTTCCCAAGACTTCTTTCAAGAACACAGAGGAATTCCTCAGGCACAGCAAATGCTAGTCTTGTGCATGACCCTCTTCTGGGGGAGACCGGCTCCTGGTGCCCGGTGGACACAGTATTTAAGAGCAGGATACTTTGAATTACACATGGCTAAGCATGATGAAGAGAAGTTACTGTTTTTTTTAAAGTGGTGGAAGCCTATTGCTCAAAGAAAAGACAAAACAAACAGTTTGGATAAACAAAAAAATAAGGGCCATGTGGGATTCCATTCCTTTCAATATTTTGGTGCCTGTCCTTCCAGACAGCTCATGACGCATAATTAAATTTATTTAGCTTCTCATTAATGGTCCTTAGCAAGTAGTGATCCTGCCCCCCCAGCGGCCCAGGGCTGTGTCTGGGGGCATTTGTGGTCACGATGACTGGGTATCCCTGGAATCCAGTGGGTGCAGCCAGGGGTGCTGCTTAGCCCCCCACAGAGAGTGACCTGGCCCCGCATGTGAGCCGTACATTTTAAATAGTTAAAATGGCCAATTTCACTTTAATTATATTCCACCACAATTCGAAAATATTAATGTCATGCATTTCTTACTTTTCGTAAATGTGGCCCCTCCAAAATGTGGAAGTGCTCACGTGACACACATGCATTTCTGTTCCGTGGGCCTGGCCTCGGCTCTGAGGAAGGGATTTCAGAAATACTCAGAGATAAGAGAGCAGATACAAGACGCTTTCCACACGCTCGGGTCCCAGGGGAGACGGCGTGAGGTCAGGGGCGCCGTGCGCTCTGCCTCCAGGTCTCTGTCCAGGGAATGGCTTTTCCTGCCGGGACGGCCAGTGCGTCACCAAAGCGAACCCAGAGTGTGATGACAGCGTGGACTGCTCCGACGGGTCCGACGAGGCCCTCTGCGGTCAGTCTGCCTGTCCGGCCTGCTTGCCGGGCTGCATTCCCGTCCCTGGGTCAGCTGCTGGCTGCGCCCTCTGCCACCTGAGTATAGGGCTCACAGCCTGGCATTCCTGGTAGCTGGGTGGAGAGGAGGGAGCACCCACATGTGAAAAACAGGCAACAGGCTCAGAAAAGGGACACGGTGGGGAGAGGCTTGAGCTGGCCGTGGTCCTGCCATCTGGGGGTCCTGGAGGGTGATCCTGGCCGGTGGCCCCTGTCCTGCAGACTGTGGCTTGCAGCCCGGCTGGAGGACGGCGGGCCGGATCGTGGGCGGCATGGACGCGGCCCCAGGGGAGTTCCCGTGGCAAGTCAGCCTCCGAGAGAACGACGAGCACTTCTGTGGGGCCGCCATCATCAGGGCCGGGTGGCTGGTGTCCGCTGCGCACTGTTTCAACCAGTGAGCCCATCCCTGCCACTTGGAGCCCCCACTTCCACCCTGGGGGGCCGCCTTTCCAGGGGGTCTTCAGATTCCCCTGGGAACTCTTTATTTTTCCCCCACTCATTCTGAATGCAGTCTCTTTTTAAAAGTTATTTGAAAAAATTGTGTTAAAATAGGCATTATTAAAACATACCACTTTAATCATTACAATTCAGTAGCATGAACACACCCACAGTCGTGCAGCCATCCCCACCCTCCGTCTCCAGAACTTTCCATCCTCCCAGACTGAAGCTCTGTCCCCCTGAAACACTAACCCCCAGCCCCCGGCCCCACCACCCACTCTCTGCCTCTGGGGACCTCCTGGGAGTGGGATCAGACAGGATCTGCCCTTTTGTCTCTGGCTTGTGTCACTGAGCACAGTGCCCTTGAGGTCCATCCGTGTTAGCAGGTGTCGGTGTCCTTCCTCTTCATGGCTGAGTAATATTCCAGTGTGTGCATGCACCATCCTGTACCTGTTCATCTGTCCATGCTACGCCTTTGGACCACTGTGCCTAATGCTGCTGTGGACACAGGTGTGCACATATCCGTGTCCCTGTTTGCAGCTCCCTTGGGCGTTCACCCAGGAGTGGAGTTGCTGGGTCACATGGTGACTATGTTTAACCTTTCTGAGGAGCCCCCCCCCCAACTCTTCCCCAGCATTGCCCCATTTTCTGTTGCCAGCAGATGTGCACCAAGCTCCAGCTTTGCTGAGCCCTCATCAGCACGTTCTTGTCCACCGTTTGACCACATCCTCGCCAACACTTGTATTGTCTGCTGTTTGAGTCTAGCCATCCTTGTGGATGTGTGCTGGTGTCTCGCTGTGATTTCAATTTGTGTTTCCTCGGTAACCAGTGACGCTGAGCTCCTTCTCATGGGTTCATTGCCATTTGTGTGTCTTCTTTGGAGACGTTTTCAGGCCCTTGTCCCATTTTTTAATTGAGTTGGTTTTTGTTGTTGAGAATGGTCAGCATCTTTAACAACCGGAGTGGCCAATCAGAATGGAGCTGGATAAAGGGGAGGGGAGGTTCTAGAAGCCTCTGGTGGTGCCAGGCACTGCTGTTTAGTTGTTGCAGCCTGACGAGCCCCTGGGGAGGGAGGGTGATGGGCAGCAGGGGCTCCCGGGGCTCAGGATCAGCCCGCAGAGCTCCCCGTGGTCCAGTGCTTTAGCAGTCTGTTGGCAAGACCAGGGCAGCCTGCACACCACCCGCTTGCTGCCCCAGAAAGTGATGGGCACAGAGGTCAAGTGAATGGTGGCCACTCGGGCCCACAAGAGCTGTTTTGGTTTTTCAATTTTAAGTTTTATTTCTCTTAGTAATTTATTATCATAATTTAGACAGAAACAATGAAAAAATAGTATAATCCCCACAAGCTCTCTCTGATCTGAGCAGGTGTTGTATTCTGCCACGTTCGCTCTCTCCCTCGCTCTGCCTGCCCATCTGCACCTATGCACATGCACCACACATGCAGACGTGGATTTTTTTGCCAAACCCTTTGACAGGAGGCAGGCAGCACCACGACTGTCTTCTGCGTGTGTCTGTCAAGTACAGGCCAGTCCCCATCCCCAGGGCGTCATCACACTGCCACCTGTGGGATGCCCCTGGTATCCTACGCATGTCATTTCCCTGATTGCCCCAAAGGGGTATTTTTTAGCTGGTTTTATTTTTCTTTCTTTTTGGTTCTGGTAAAATATACGTGACATTTGAGCCGTTTTTGAAGGCACGAAGAGTTTTGGCCTTGAGTTGGCAGAGTGGTTCGGGAGAGGCACTGGAGAGAGGGGCAGGGGCCTGAGCTCTGGGCCTGTGAGTCTGCAGGGCTCCAGCAGCCCAGGAATTGCTGGTGGCGGTTGGGCCAGAGACCGTAGGAGACGTGCGGGGTGACAGGCTGCGTGGCGTGCGGGCTTTGTCGAGCAGAACCGAGATTTCCCTGTGTTTCTGCTGGGAAGTGGGCCGGGGTTAGGGTGAGCAGAGCGGGGTCCTTGCTGTACAGGGCGGGGACACCGGGGACACCCAGTCATTGCGACCAGTAGTATTTTTATGCTACATTGGAAAAAACCTAAATGAATGCAAAAAGGAAAAAGAAAAGAAAGGAAATTCAAAATGAACAGGATATCCGGTTCTAAGGACCCACAGATCATTCAGGGGATGGGAGGCGAGTCCAGCTAGCGGAGTTGGACCCCATGTTTATGTGAAGTGTAGGCGCTTTGTTTGTTGGGGGTTTAGCCTTCGTTTCCATGTGTGTCATGGCATGAAAACGTGACTCATCACCACGACTGCATTTTGGTGTCCCCTCAACATTGTGTACCTGGATTCTGTCTTTGTTTAAAACGCTGAATTTTTTTTTTTTTGCATTTGTTTTGATTTCTGACAATGTTGCATGAGAATGTCATCAGTCTCCATGACTGGGTTTTGGGGTGCCCCTGTAACATTAGCCCCGGGGTGTGCCTGGCTGGGCCTCGGAGCCACATTAGTCTGCCCCGCAGGTTCCAAGACCCCACCGAGTGGGTGGCCTACGCCGGCACAAACCTCCTCAGTGGCTCGGAGGCCAGCACCGTGCGGGCCCGCGTGGCCCGGGTCATCGCGCACCCCTTCTACAACCCCGACACGGCCGACTTCGACGTGGCAGTGGTCCAGCTGGGCAGCCCCCTGCCCTTCGGCAGGAGCGTCCAGCCTGTGTGCCTCCCTGCCGCCGCGCACGTCTTCCCGCCCCGGAGGAGGTGCCTGATCTCAGGCTGGGGCCACCTCAAGGAGGACTTCCGTAAGTCCGGCCTTCCCGCAGGGGGATGGCTGGCCAGGAACCGGCATGCGGGGGCGCCCTCACCCTCCACGGATTCCGCGTCTGCGATTTCAAGTTCGCACACTCGCTGCAGTTTAATCGTCTTGCGCAAATGGCTACTCGGGGGAATGTGGGTCGTTTGCACACATGCGTAGAGCACACTCCCAGCTGAGGAGTTTCAGCTCAGAGGATACACGAGTGTCCTTTTCCTGGTACTTACTACTGCGTTTTCTCATTTTTGTGGGTTCTTTCACTAAGATGGCCCCCAAGCGTGGAGCTCAAGTGCTAGCAGCCCTATGTGCAGGGAGGTGGGATGCGTCCTACCAGAAAATACTGTCAGGTCAGCCTCGTGCAGGGGGCCCTGAGTTCCGTGGGCGCCTTTAAACAGGAACACACGTGACACAAGGTTACCTACTGATCCCTTGACCAAAATGTTGAGGCCCCAGCCACGGTTCCAGGGACTGAGCTGGAAGCAAAACAGCCAGAAATCTCTGCTCCGGACCAGTCTGTCCAAGGGAAGTTTTCCTGTGGGTGGACCGTCCACTAATGGAGCCACCAGCCCCATGTACTGTGGCCAGTGCAATAGGGAAATGGAGTTTCACATTTTATTTTGTTTTAATAAATTTAAATTTATATTTAAGTAGCCACGTGTGGCCAGTGGCTGGGTACTGGGCAGCGTGATTCTGGAGGGAAGTAGATAATGGAGAAGAATAACACAGGGATGGCAATGGAGTGGGGGTGGGGGGCTGCAGTTTTAAATAGGAAAGTCGGGAGAGGCCTCCTCGAGAAAAGAGGTGAAGGAGGAAGGCAGGGGGATTCTAGAGGGACAAGCACTCTGGGCAGCCGGAACAGCGCGTGCAAAGGCCCTGGGGCAGGTGATGCTGACTTGGGCTTTAGTTTGAGCTTGGGCAGGGTGGGGATTGCCCAGAAGATTCGAACATAATCTGATCTGCTGTTTAGCAGAGGCAGTGCTGGCCACGGGGCGAAGAGTTCAGCAGAGGGGGGCGTGCAGGGAGGAGGAGGTCTGGGGGAGCTGCTGTGGAGCTGTGGCCCTCGGCACCTGTTAGCTGGAGGGGGATGGAAGCCTCATCACGGGGCTTCGGGGGAGCGTTTGCTCTTTGCAGCTTCTGTGCAGGCCGCAGTGGTCCCGCTCTGCATGGACACTGAGGCTCTGAGAGACTTGGGACAGCCACCTGGCTCCAAAACACTCACCCTGCCAGTCTCTCTCTGTCCTGTCCAGTGGTCAAGCCAGAGGTGCTTCAGAAAGCCACAGTGGAGCTGCTAGACCAGGCCTTGTGCACCAGCCTGTACGGCCCCTCGCTCACCGACAGGATGGTGTGTGCTGGCTACCTGGACGGGAAGGTGGATTCCTGCCAGGTGAGCCCTGAGCTGCAGGGCCAGCGGCCAGGCCCCAGACCCAGGCCACCTTGAGGCCACTGGGAGAGCGCCCCAGTTTCCACCCCATGGCTCCCCGCTCCTTCCCAGAAGGGGGGGTCCTCACAGCTTCTGCTCCACCTCTGGCATCTCCTTCTGAGTTTCTGCTCTGATTTCTACAGCCTGGAGGGTGGGGAGCGGTGGGGGACCACACGTGCTCAGGCTGCCAGAACAAAACCAGAGCTGGGGAGATGCTGGGGGGGCAGCACCTATGTTTGAGGATGTGAGTCAGGGCGAGCCAGGCCGAGAAGGCAAAGGGCTGTAGAGGGCAGGGCAGGCCCGCAGGAGGCGCTGCAGCTGCTAGTGGGACCAGGGGCACCGCCCGCCATCCCCCTGAGCAAGCGGGGACACGGTCAGAGACCTACTGGGATGAGGAGCCGGGGGGATGAAAGTTCCATTTCACAGAAGAAACAGGCTCTGAGATGCGAACAGTCAGCCCACATTTGCTGCATGCACTCGGGCGGAGACGGGTCTCAGGAGCCCCCGTCCAGGGCCCCTCCCGTGGCTCTGCAGCTCTGGGGTCCAGACCGGCTGTGCTGGAGGAGCCCCGAGCCTTCCTCAAGGCATACCTTGTCTCCTAGGGCGACTCAGGGGGCCCCCTGGTCTGCAAGGAGCCCTCCGGCAGGTTCTTTCTGGCCGGTATCGTGAGCTGGGGAATTGGTTGTGCAGAAGCCCGGCGTCCGGGGGTCTATGCCCGGGTGACCAAGCTGCACGACTGGATCCTGGAGACGATCAACGTGGCCAGCAAGCCTCTGGCCCCCACCGTGGCTCCTGCCCCCACCACCCCCAGCACGGCCTGGCCCACCAGCCCCGAGAGCCGGGAGGTCAACACCCCCACCAAACCCACACTGGCCCCCAGCACTGCACCTGTGGATTCAGTCACCGCCTCTAAGCCACAAGGTATTATCTGGTGAGGCGGGCAGAAGGAGGTGCTGGGTCTGATAGATTGGTGTTGGCTTTCTGAAGCTCTCCGTGGAAACAGACAGGGATTGATTAGTGATGTCTGTCATGAGCACAGCAGAGACCGCACGAACTGCCCTTCAGATTCGCTGTACATTGAAGTCCGGCAGTTCTGGGGCACACATGGATACCCTCGAGGTTGTCCAGGACACCACACACACGCAGCACGCACGTGCACACTTCAGTACCTGAGACTCCTCATCTCCCCGGAATTTCCCTGGATGAGCCCGCATGCTGCATGCCTGTGGGATAAGTGAGGTCAGCGTGGTTTCTAATCCTGGTGACACGCACCATAAAATTGGCCATCTTAAACACTTCTGAATGTCTGGTTCAGTGGCGCTGAGCGTACCCCACCTTGTGCCACCCATCTCCAGAACGTTTTCATCTTGCACAACTGAGCCTCTGTGCCCGCGGGATGCCAACCTGCCCTCCCACTGCCGCCAACCCCTCCCGTGGCAACCACCTTTCCCGTCCGTCTCTGACTCCTTCAGATTCCTCCTGAGCGGAGTCACACGGCATTTGTCCTATTGTGACTGGCTTGTTTCATTTGTTTCATTGCAGCTTATCTGGTTTCTAAAAAAATTACAGATTGTTCAGTTTAGGGAGAATGGACGTCTTCATGACATCTTCCACTGTCAGGTGTTCCTGTTCAAGGACACGGCGCACCCATCTCATTTTGTGTGTACACTGACATGTCTGTCACACAATCTCATCCATTTATTCACTGTGGTCTGATAAACGGGATCTTTGTGTTCTACCTTCAGCTACTTTGTAGCCAGACCACTTAGAGAATGACCTTCTCCCGGCTGTTCCATATACAGAACAAACATAGACAAAGTCAGTGGTGGTCACCAGGGACCCACTTTCTCTGGGGACTCTGCAGGGCATCCTGCCCACCCCCACAGCTTTCTCACTGAAAACCCTTATTGTCTGGAATCGGTCAAAGACGTTGCTGTCTGAGTCACACCAGTGGGAACCAGACCCCTGCCCTGCCCAGGGCTCTCAGACCCCACGACCTGCCTGAGCTGCCAGCCGGGTGAGCAGCTGCAGGTGAGAGGTTTCTGGACACAGATCACAACCCCGGTCTGATGTCAACCCCACAAACCTGCTGCGCTCTGCGCCAGCTGAGGCTGTGCCCCATTTGGATGTCACCTGCACCCAGCCCACCCCTGAATCCCGCAATAACCCACTTCTTTCTTTGGTGAGTGGCCCCTGGTTCTGCAGTGAGCCCCAAAATGTGGCCTGTGGGCTCAGGCCTGCTGGACGGCACAGGCAGGCGCCCTGACTTTCTCTCCTTTTACACGTATGCCCTCTGCTGTGCCACGCGCTTGCCGGGAGACCTCGGGCCGCCAGAGGTCAGCCTTGGTCTCCCTGCCCGTGGCGTGGGTGTAACTGTGTGCCACTGTGTGCCCAAGCGCCCTGAACCCAGGGGCTCCCACTCTGCGTGGGCTGATGCCTGGACCCTCCTCTCCTCTCCCCCTAGAGTGCGGGACCAGGCCAGCCATGGAGAAGCCCACTCGCGTTGTGGGCGGGTTCGGGGCCGCCTCCGGGGAGGTGCCCTGGCAGGCCAGCCTGAAGGAGGGCTCCCAGCACTTCTGCGGGGCCACTGTGGTGGGGGACCGCTGGCTGCTGTCGGCCGCCCACTGCTTCAACCAGTAAGACCCCCCAGGCCTGGCTCCCCCTCACCACAGGGCCGCCCCGTCCAGGCCCCAATATTCAGAAGCTGTTCACCATGGGGTGTGGCCAGCTGTGCCCGGGGATGGCTGCATGGTCCAGGTCTGAATGTCCCATTGCCATCAACAGCGGGCAGGGGCACAGGCAGGGGAAGTAGGGGCTCGGGGAGCCGTCCCAAGGGTTTGGGCCTGGGTTGTGGCTCCTGGGATGTGAAATCTGGGCTGTCCTTTGAGGAACAAACAGGGACCAACTGGGGAGGGAACAGGGCTCTTTCCCCTCCACCCCATGGCCAGCCAAGCGGGTCTCTGATGGTCACGCAGCAAGGGGGCTCCCGAGGCAGCTGTGCAGCCCCTCCAGCCTCCTGCGCAGCAGGGCGGGGTCTGAGCGGCGCCTTGTCGGCAGCACCAAGGTGGAGCTGGTGCGGGCCCAGATGGGCACGGCGTCGCTCATGGGCGCCGGCGGCAGCCCAGTGAAGGTGGGGCTCAAGCGGGCAGTGCTGCACCCCCAGTACAACCCCAGCACCCTGGACTTTGACGTGGCCATGCTGGAGCTGGCCAGGCCCCTGGCTTTCAACAAGTACATCCAGCCCGTCTGCCTGCCCCTGGCCATCCAGAAGTTCCCCGTGGGCCGCAAGTGCATCATCTCCGGCTGGGGCAACATGCAGGAGGGAAATGGTGAGCCCCGGTGTGTGCGGCGCTGCTCCACTCCCGTGGGGGTCTTGCACGGGCCCTCAGGCCAAAGCGGCTGCTCCTTATGAATCAAGTTTTATCAGCACACAGCCACGCCCCTCTGCAAATGGCCTGTGGCCACCTTCCTGCTACAGGCACTGGAGCTCAGTGGCCCTGACAGGGGCTGCCTGGCCCAGAAAGCCAGAAACGTTTACTCTGGCCCTTCACAGAGAAGTCCAGGGTGCCGTGTGCTGTGCCCTCCGCCCCTGAGCCCCTGCTCCTCTGAAACACGAGCACAGGCCTCCTGCAGGCCCCGGTGCTGGGGAACCCGCTGGGCACAGTGGTGAGAGCGCAGGCTCCGAGCCGGGGGGACGGGACCCTGAGCACCGGGCACTGAGCAGGAGCCCCTCAGCACACGGCACGTGGTCCTGTCCTTGCAGCTACCAAGCCCGACATCCTGCAGCGGGCCTGGGTGGGCATCGTAGACCAGAAGGCGTGCAACACGCTCTACAACTTCTCCCTCACAGACAGGATGGTCTGCGCTGGCTTCCTGGAGGGCGGGGTCGACTCCTGCCAGGTGAGGGGCGGCACGGACCCCGGCACCGGTGGCCATCCACCGCAACTTGCAGGCACGCAGGTCTCTGAAGCGCTTGTGTAGCCAGGACAGCATTGTCCCTGCGCGCTTTTGGCAGGAGAGTCTGCAGGCGCCCGGAGTCTTCAGCTGTCACTCAGAGACGTGACAACCCCTGCAGACAGGAGGGGCGCAACTTACACTAGACATGCATCCTCGACCCCTGAGCAGCGGGTTTGACCTGCACAGGTCCGCTTCTATGCCAATTTTTCTCATTTTGGAGATTTTCAACAATTTGAAAAGTCATTTTCTTGTCTCTAGCTTAGTTTATGATAAGGACATGGCAGATAAGGCACACAGCATGGCGACAGTGTTGGCAGGCTGCTTGTGTCATGGCAAAGGGCCCGGTCAGGTGGGCGACCAGCGGTTTCTGGGAGTCCAGCTAGACGCGGATTTTCGGGCTTGGGGGGGGAAGACACCCAACCCTGCGGTGTTCGGGGATCGGCTGTGCTGTGAAATGACCCCAGCAGGCTGGCTAACCTGTCCTCCTCCCCTGGCCCCCAGGGTGACTCCGGGGGCCCCCTGGCCTGCGAGGAGAGCCCCGGCGTGTTCTACCTGGCTGGGGTTGTGAGCTGGGGCGTCGGCTGTGCTCAGGCCTGGAAGCCTGGCGTCTACGCTCGGGTCACCAGGCTCAAGGGCTGGATCCTGCACACCATGGTCTCTCGCCCCCACCCCATGCCCGCCCTCCCCACCACTGGGACGCCCACCCCCACCAGCCACGTCCCCAGGACCACAGCTGACCTCACAGCCCCAGGGGCCTCAGCCACCAGCCCACCTGCCAACAGGACAGCCACCACCCTGAGCACCACCACTAGGGGGCAGACACTCCCCCCAAATGCCACAGAGACCACCATGGGCTCCCAGCCAGCAGGTACTGGGGAGGGGGGCAGGGGGGCAGGTGTGGGTGACAGGGGTCCTGGGTCAGTGCACGCAGGCCGCCAAGGCCAAGAGCGGCAGTCGGGGCAGCTCAGGCACACGCGTTTACTGTCCCAGCTCCGGAAGCTGGGGTGCTGAGACTTCAGCAGGGCTGGTCCCACAGAGACTGCCTGCTGGGCTCGCAGAGGCATCTGCTCCAGGTCCTCACGTGGTCTGTGTCCCAGTCTCCTTATAAGGGCCTCATTTTACCTCAGTTACCTCTTTTGAGACCCTTTCTCCAAACACATTCTGAGGTCCTGGGGTAAGAACCCCAGTGTGTGGATCTCGGCAGGCACCCAACAGCCCCTAATAGGTTCCGCAGCCAACACAAGCACAGATGGGGCAGGCGAACATCATCTAGTGGCAAACGCCTTATCCCACACCGTCTGCTTCCTTTAAAAAGGAGACCTGGGGGCACCCAGGAGTGTGGGCAAGGCCCTGGCAGAGGGCCTCCATCACAGGGTCACTCCACCTGGCCGGTGTCCACACAACTGCCTCTGTGCCAGGCATTGTGCTGGGCGCGGGGTGCAGCACACACGTGAGAACCACACAGTGACGGGAAGTGGTTAGGAGAGGACACGGAATGCAGGGCACAGCTGGCGGCCGGCTGGCCCCACGTGCTCCCCGTAAGGGCCCAGGGCCCTTGAGGACCTGGGGGCCTGAAGCAATGCAGCTCGGAGAGAACTGGCCCTGATCTGGGGTCTTCCAGCTTGTGTCTGAAACATGGAGCCAACTTCTGTCATGAGGACCATACAGAACTGCACATTTGTAGGTAAAAAATAAAACCCCATCGAGTACAGCCAGTTTCATCCAGCTCAAGCCAAGAAACCAGTTAGCAGGCGCCCCTGCTGCCTGCATACAGTGTCTCTCTGCGGACGCTGTGCCCACCTTTGGTTGGGTTGGGCAGAGGGCACGAAGCACGCTCCTGGGGCCCTGGGGGGGTGGGGGAGGGGAGAGCTGGGCACAGGGGCCACCGGCCGCCCCATGGCCTCTGCATGAGTGCCCTGCCTCCTGCCTGCCCATCTGGAGGCCAACTCAGGCCCCTTTCCCCTCCTCCGTCCCCACCGCCCTCAGCTCAGGGGCCTTACTGCTGCTTCTGACAGGTCAGGGGACCTGCTGGTCATCGCTACACCCTCTCACAAGGGGTTTTCTTCTCTCCCCTGCACACATACACACAGCCTGGCCCACAGCTGCCCAGGCAGCCCTGTACCCACAAAGTCAGGTTTATGGGCTCACTGCCCCCAGGCAGGGTCTGGGTGGGGGTCAGGGGAAACTGGGAAGATGGGCTGCCGCAGCAGCTGCTGGGACACGGCAAGGCCTGGGTATGCAAAGGCCTGGGGCAGCAGGAATCCTGGCTCCTTGGGGACTGAGAGATGCCTGGGTGGTGTGGGGAGGGGATGCAGGCCCGGCCCTGGGCCCCAGTGCTAGGTTCTAGGCAACAAACCTAAATGCATTTCAGGTTACACATTACATGAAAACAGGGCTGAGCAGACTTCTTTGTAGGACGGGGCCAAGTGCCGTTCCACACACAGGTGTTTCAGGGGACGGCCCCCCACTCCCATTGTGCTCAGGCACAGCTGCGGGACGGGTGGCTCCTGGTGGGCTGCATAGAGGAAGTGCCATCCCTCTGCACCCACTGACCCTCGGCTCCCCGCAGACTGCGGCCTGGCCCCTGTGGCTGCGCTGACCAGGATCGTGGGTGGCAGTGCCGCGGGCCACGGGGAGTGGCCGTGGCAGGTGAGCTTGTGGCTGCGGCACCAGGAGCACCGGTGCGGGGCCGTGCTGGTGGCCGAGAGGTGGCTGCTGTCCGCAGCGCACTGCTTCGACGTGTGAGTCCGCCGCCCCAGTGCCCTGAAACCTCAGACCTTTGCCTAGGCCGCCCCCTCCTCTGGGCAGCCCTCCTGTCCCCATCTATCTCAGGCAGACCACATGGGAACGCGAGGGAAGTGCGGGGCACCAGCCCCCAAAGGCCACCCAGTGGGGAACCCCCTTCCTCCCCAGGGCCCAGGTCCCTTCCTGCCAGGATGCTCAGCAGGGTAGCCCAGGCCAGGGGTCCTGCCCCCCAGGGAGACATGCCCTGCTCAGGACCCACTCTGTGCCTGCTGGGCCTTTAGAGCCCTAAGAGGTAGAAAGGGTGACAACAGCTTCTACTGTCACCTCGGCGCCTAGCGACAAGCTGGGCCCATCCCAGGAGAGCCCCCTCCGCTGTCCTAGGAGGAAGGATTGGCACTCTGCCAGTTTGCACAGGCGCAACCCAAGGCAGACGGGGGCAGCCCCTGGGGTGGGGATGTGGGTGGACGCCGGCCCTCCACTCCACAGCTATGGGGACCCCAAGCAGTGGGCGGCCTTCCTGGGCACCCCCTTCCTGAGCGGTGCCGATGGGCAGCTGGAGCGCGTGGCCCATATCTACAAGCACCCCTTCTACAACCTCTACACGCTGGACTATGACGTCGCGCTGCTGGAGCTGGCGGGACCAGTGCACCGGAGCCGCCTGGTGCGGCCCATCTGCCTGCCAGAGCTTGCGCCCCGGCCCCCGGATGGCACGCGCTGTGTCATCACCGGCTGGGGCTCGGTGCGCGAGGGAGGTAGGCCCTGCTCAGGAGGCCCCGGCCCGGCCCGCGGGTGGCTGGCCACGGGGTCCCCACAGCCCGTCTCGCCCGCAGGCTCCATGGTGCGGCAGCTGCAGAAGGCGGCCGTGCGCCTGCTCAGCGAGCAGACATGCCGCCGCTTCTACCCGGTGCAGATCAGCAGCCGCATGTTGTGCGCCGGTCTTCCACAGGGCGGCGTGGACAGCTGCTCGGTGAGCCCGCGGGTCAGGGGCCCACGGCCAGGCTGGGCTCATCCAGGCCGATCAAGCAGGGCACCTTGGTGATTTCCACTAGGCCTCCGTTTATTGACAGGGTCCCCTGCCCCATTCTTCCCGGCCCGATGAAAGTCTGTCATCCTCATACTGAGCCCGTTTCCCAGAACAGAGAAGTGAGGCTCACAGGGACAGGTGCTCACACGGGGAGCCCAGGCGACACTCCCACAGTAGCCAGTGACCCAGTGTGCAGATCGGGCCAGCCCTCCCCCCACCTGGGGCTGCCGAGGGGACAGACCAGTCCTCTTGACTGCCGTTCCTCCCCAGGGTGACGCTGGCGGACCCCTGGCCTGCAGGGAGCCCTCCGGCCGCTGGGTGCTAACTGGCGTCACCAGCTGGGGCTACGGCTGCGGACGACCCCACTTCCCGGGTGTCTATACCCGGGTGGCTGCCGTGAGAGGCTGGATCAGGCAGAACATCCAGGAGTGACAGCCACGTGGCTGCCCAGGCCTGGCACGAGGAACATGAAGGCAGCAGGAACCACCAGCGACCCGCCCGAGGAGAGGCTCTGGGGGCATGGCAGGAGAGGCGGTGGCTGCGGGAACAAGGCGCGGTTTTCACCGAATATTTTGTTTCAATAAACAGCCACTCCTTCCTAGCCTGTTGGCTTGGCACCTCCCTGTCACAGCAAGGGCCACTTGCCCACCCATCGCCCAGGGCTCAGAGGTCGGGGAGGGGACAGCAGAGGGAAAGCAAGGTCCCCGTGGGCAGGAGGCCCAGCCCCAGCTTCTGGGAGTCCCGGGTGAACATCACCCTCTGTGTTACCGCGGGAGGCGCAGGAAAACGCACGGGGTGCTCCCCAGCCCACTGTCAGCGATTTATTTGTCCGGCTGTCCCAGCGGGTCACAGCTCAATAGGGTCTTATCCCGCCCCAAGTCTGATCTGCGCACACCTGGACAGGTGCCGCCGGGCTGCCAGCACTTCGGGAAAGGCAGGGTCCCCAAGCCCAAGTTACACCCCTGGCTAGTGGGGCGCTGGCAATCTCGTGTCCTCGCACCAGGCGCATCTTCAAAAACCTAGGGCAGGCGCCCCGCCGGACAAAGGGCACAGGTGGCGCGGGGTGGCCGGTCACATGTTGGCTCGCTCCCGCTGCAGACGCGAGTTGTAGGCGCGGGACACGGTGTTCCAAGCGTCCATGTAGCGGTCCATGCACATAGCGATACACTTCTGGAAGCGGGAAGGCGCGCGGCTCAGTTCGGGCTGCCGGCCGCACCGCCTGCCTGGTCAGCGGACAGCGCACGCGCAGAAACCTCTCTCAGACCCAGGCCGACGGCCCCAACGCAGGCGGCTGACCACGCACACGCAGCAGCCCCGTGGTGACCTGTAGGTCCGCGCACGCGCGGAGGCCTCCCTGCGGTATCCGAGCCCACGCCAACCCTGAAAACTGCGCAGGCACAGCGGCCCCAGGGTCTCGTTGGCCCGCGCACGCGCAGAAACCTCCCCGCCCGCGGGTCTCACCTGCTCGGAATTATCCAGAGCGCCCCCCGGCTTCCCGATGCACTTTCGGAAGCATTTATCTGTCATCCTCTGTGGGGACATGCAAGCATTCAGCAGCGACGCCCACCCCTGGCGGACCCCGCCGCCCTCCGGTCCCGCCTCTTCCAACCGCGCACCTGCAGCAGCTCCTGCGCGTTGGCCACCGCGATCTGCACTTTCACCTGCTCCATGATGAGCCCCGGGTCCAGCTTGCCGCCGCTGGAGCTGCCGAAGTCCGAGCCAAAGCCGCCCTCCATGGCTCCGCGGTTAGCCGGCCTGGGACCGTGTGCGCAGCCCGTGCCCGCGCCGGAAACCAGCCTCCCAGGGCACCACGGGAAATGAAGTCAAGAGGAGCTGGTTGGTGTATAAAGGCCGGACTACAACTCCCAGAAGGCCGCGCGGAAGGGCGTGCTGCGCACGCGCCAGCTGGGGCACGAGTACTCCTTAAGTACCACCCCCAGCTCTTCCCGCGTACCTTGCATCGAGCGCGCGCGCACAGCTGAGCGGAAGGGCCGCGCAGGACGCGGCAAAAAGCAAAGCGCGGCGCCAGAAGCTCCGGCCGAAAATTAGTGCACGGAACAGGAAGCAGCCACCTAGGGAACTTCAGGGGCTGCGCACGGAGTCGGCCTACACCAGCTGTTTTTCTGGGGAGTTGGGTCTCAAGGCACCACCCCGTTCATTAGGGGCTGAGGATCCAGGTAGGGCTGCCGGTCAGAGTGAACTCCCAGGCAGAACTTAAAACCAAAGTGTTTATTGGAGTGTTGTACAAAAGGTTCCAGTCATAAAATGCGTATTACAAATCATTGGAGGAAAAAAAAAAAAGACAACACGTTTGGCATGCATCCCTTAAAAACCGACCCGAAGCCAAGGGGAAGACCAGCCCAGCTCCTAAAGCCGGATCCTCCAGTGGCGCTGGTGCTCCGCCTGGGGAGCGGACTTAAGACCTTGGGGCAGCCCTTGTCCCGAGGAATGTCAGCACGACCCAGCGGAGCTAACATAATGCAACGGCTGGGTCCCGGGTGTGCGCGCAGCGCGCTGAGCCTCACCGTGGGGCAGGGCATGGGGCGAGTGTTCGCCAGGCCTGAACCACTTCCGCGTCCCTGGAAACAGCTTAAAGCTAAACATGTCTAAGGACTAGGGCAATTTGTTTCCCAGGCCATAGTTGACATTTTAACATTGGATTCTGCTGTTTCCAAATAATCACCAGCCTCCACTCGCCAACTGGCCAGAGTCCAGCTTATCTTCCCCCACCAGACAAGGGTGCCTGGGCCACCTCCTTGGGTCCACCCAAGACCCCAGCCACACCAACATCGGTGGGGGAGGCTGAGAAGGGGGTCTGCGTGACAAGCATCATCTGCCAGGAGCAGCTGTCTGGAGGCCCCTGGGGCTGTGCAGGGTACTGGGGCAGCAGCCCTGGGCCTGCAGGAAGGGCAGGGCCCACTCCCTTCCTATCCAGGAGCCTGGCCTGCGAGCCCAAGTCAGCACATCACAGACCCACATACAAGGACACAGCCCTGAGCCCTCCCGAGATTCCCAAAATACACAGGAGGTGGCTGTACCCAGGGCAAACGACATGGGGTGGGGGGCCACCAATCCCCACCAGCTCACTGCCTGAGCAACCATTCTCTGCATGGGCCACCACGCCGGGAAGGGAAGCTGCCTGGGGGGCAGGTCACACAAGGACGGGGGTGGTGCACCGCCAGGGCAAGCACGGGGCTTCCAGAAGTGGAGCATGTCTGCACCTTCAGTGAGGGGCTGTCTGGTCAGTCATTCGCTCCACAGGGGAAATGGAGTCCTCAGCCCAGGACTCAAGTAGCCACAGAAAGAGTCTGGACCAAAAACAGAAGGGCTGCAGGTAGAGCCTCAGGGCAGCAGCCACGGTGACGCTTCCACCCACTAACCCTTCGCCATGAGCGATTCCCAAGCAGGCCAGGCAGGTGGACAGCCCCGTGGCTCCCAGCCCAGGCCAGGCCAGCAGAGGCTCTTTGTAAACGCCCACCCTCAGGGGCAGCAGGCTCACCAAAACAGCCTCAACACTGCCTCTTGGGGACTAGACGGTGAGCCCAAGGCGGGGTCCCTGCAATCTGAGTCCCGACCAATGTAAAAAAATAAATATCCATTAAAAAAATAACTTCTGTGTGTGTGTCTATGCGGGACAGGGTGTAAACGGGGAGGTGAGCTAACGCAGAAGGCTCGCTGGGGCCAGAAGCTGGACTGCTTATTGCGGGGGCCACCCTGTGGAGTCAACTGGCCTTGACGGGCCTGAGGGACACCAGCAAGGCGGCCATGGACGAAGCAAGGGCACGAAGAATGCGTACAAACACGGCAGCAGTGGGGCCATCCCGTGGCTTACCCTGAGGTCACCTTCCTCCTGACCGGAGGGCCGCAAGTGGTTGTTACACTTGCTCTGAAACCTGAGGCACTGCTTTCCGAGGGTGCCACACTGTCCCCTCCACCTATACTTGGTGACAAGTCTCAGTACACGATTGTTCCCGTTCCCCAGGCTTCCATCTCCCTGACCTGCTGGTCCTGCAGGCTGAGGAACTCAACTGCAGAAAGCTCCGAAACACAAGGATCAGTCAGCCAGAAGGGGAACCGGGAGGTCCCGCCCAGAATCCCTGCCTGCACCCCAACGCAGGCAGTGCCGGAATCACAAACTCTCAAAGTCCAGACCAGTCAGTAGAAACCTGCTTCCCCCCACACGTACGACATCTCGTCTGGTTTGCAGCCACCAAAATCTGACAGGGGTGCCCCTGTGCCCCACCAGGATGGGACCCAGATTCTGAATTTGGTTTCTGATAAGCTCACATAAACAACTACTGAATTCCTGCACAGCCTGCTTTGGCCACCTCCAGGCTCCAGGGGCAGGAGCCCAGCCCACCAGCTGAGGACAGCAGGGTGCAGCCAACTGCCCCCCAGAGCCCGGCGCGGACCCAGCCTCCACTCCCGCTCGCTGGCCACTGGCTTCCTGGGGCTCAAACTTAACAAAGAGGTGAAACGGGGGACAGAAAAACAGTGTGGACAGCGCCACTACAGGGAGGGTTCCAGGAAATCCACCCATACAAAGAAGAGCAGAGACCCGCCCCCACATTCTGGTAGTTTAAAAATTCTCTAGAAATGTACGAAGGACTAAAAGAAAGCCAATGATATAAAAATAATTTTCAGTGGCTCTGAATAAAGAAAGATGGGTGATGAGGCGTGTCCCTTCACATTACTCGGCAGCCGCGCGACGTGGTTCTCGGGTCCCCCTAGAAGGGAGGACAGACAGGTGGCAGGTAGGCGGGCGGGGCCCAGGGCTGAGCCACCCAGGGAAGAGCACCTCCCAGCAGCTTTAACCTCCACCATCCTGGTTCCAGAACCATCCGTGTCTCCCTTGCCTCTGTTCTGAGGTATGCCTCATTTTGTTTTGACACCTGGCACCAGAGCCACAGCAAGGACCCTCAGGGCTGAACCAGAGCCTCCGCAAGATGCAATCGGCTCTCAAGACCGCCCTCCACCCCGAGGTCCACACGCCAGCCAGGCCTTGGGGGCGGGGAGCGCTCCCCCACGGCCACGGCTGCAGCTGCGGGGCCGTGGCCCGGGTGCCAAGCACCAGGCTAGGCCAGCTTGGCCCTGATGCTGGGGACCCGGCAGCAAGGCGCCAGGCCACTCGGTGGGTGTCCACGGCCTGTACCTGCTGGTGGAACAGATCCTCCTCTCCGAAGTCAGCTCCGTCCTCTTCCTCCTCCCCGTTCTCGGCCTCCCGCACCACAGAGGACTGCTTCACCGTCCTCATGGCTACTTCCTGGATGGGACAAGGGCCTCGATGCGCGTCCCCCCGGGGGCTGGCTGCCAGGTCAGGCTGCTCCGCCCGGGCTCCACCCCAGGACCCTGCACACGCCCTGGGTGTGGTGTGGGCTGCACAGGGGACACCCAGGAGGGACCCCAGCACCAGAACAGAGGCTGCCCCCACC